CACACACACACACACACACACACACACACACACACACACACACACACACACACGTTTGTTTAATTAAGAACTGCATGTTCCACCCACATATTTTTGCTTGCCCAGCCTAGCTGACATTTCAAGAAGAGCAATAATCTGCCTTCATTAGACCACATGAAGCTTCCTTCAGCTTTCTTGACAGCAGCTTTCGTCACTCAGTGATATTAATGATCATCACCTTTGCACTGAAGTGCTTCCTGCACAAAAAAAATGTTTGTGGAATAGTTGTGGTGATTTATTACACTCATTGCGTGTGATGTGAATAATGTCTGTATTTAGGAAAATTCCAAAAAGAAAGTCAATAAAGATGATGTTGACTTCTCAATGACGTATTTTAACTTATTTATGCCAGTAGCCCATGATTTGGAACCATTTACCATTTGAGATCACGAAGTCTGAATGTGGAATACTTTTTATCCTCTGTCAGCACAGGTGAAAGTGGAGTGATGATAAGATTTTAGCTTGTGTGTTTGTGTGTGGGGTGGGATGGGTGCATGTGTTCACATTTCAGTTTTTTATTAGTAAAATATCTCAGGAGCCACACAACAATTATAATAAAAGACTGAAGACAGGCATTAGATAGTAGATAGTAGAGGAATAACAATACATTGATCCATATTGACATATTGATTTGAATGGTTAATGATTCAATTATATCGAGACAAAATGAAAATATTGATGTATATCGTGATCATATGCTCGATGTGAATCAATATCAAATGTATATGGTATCGTATTATATCGATCGCAGACATTTGAATCGAATCGAAATCATATTGTGACAAACTTTGTGATATCAAGAAATATCGAATCGTCATCCAAACATATGGATGTAAAATCGTATTGTGATAAAGCTGGTGATTTACACCCTTAGTATATGTACAACTGATTGTAGTCAACTTCTGAAGACAAAAGTCAAAGCTACAAACTATGGGTGCATTGTTTAGTTTTCTGGCTGATACAAATCTTTAAAAAGCTGATACCGATTTTTAAACATTTCATAACAAACACTGTCAGGTGTTATAACTACACTTTCAATGTTTCAATCTTATTTTATTGGAAAATAATGAAACAATACAAACTTGTTTTAACAGGACATGAGGTAGTGTTTAAATGCATTAATGACTGTGTCTCAGTGAATTTTACCGATATTAAGCTAAAATTTGTTGTAGAAGTAGCTGAGAGGCATTCACAACACTTATTCCAAAAACTTTCCTACCAGATTTCTCGTGGTATCTAACAATGTTGAAAATCTTTGCCTCAGCTAAGCTAGTGATTTGATTAATCTGTCTTCACTTCTGCTCTTTTTCAAATTAAATAAGCTGATCTGAACATATTTTTGTGTCAGATTTTTACAGTAGCTATGCGTTTGACTGATTCAACTTTATTTTTGATACAAAACTGGTGTTAGTTTCCTCCTTTGGGTTTTGTGTGATTATTGTCAGACACACAATAGCAGTTCTTCAGGTTGGGATTCTGAATAAGGAGGCCCTAGAAGTCAGACAAAGCTGAGCTAATGTCTTTTACGGATCCCAGGGGCCCTTGTTGAATTAGGTGTTAAGTATTTTATGTTAGAGTGGCAGCTCTGAGCCTCTGGCGGTGCAAACAGTTGGTATCTAATTCACCAGCCTGACTTGTTGCAGAGACGTAACCCAGAAGAGCCTCAGACATTGCTCTTCTTTTCTGGTTCTTTCCACAGTGACACCTCCTTAACATGCCACAAAACTGAACAATCAACAATCGCTTGGCTTCACTTTACTGATAATGTCTTTCTTATCGCTACAATGCTGCTAAAACTCTCTGCATTTCTTAGTTTCACTCAGCAAGCCTGCAATTCTAAGAATATTCTTTTCATTCTTTAACAGGTAAAAACAATAAAGTGAACAAATCTAAGGCCTTTTTTTACTAATATTTTTAATATTTGTTATAAGCATAGGATCCATATGAACTGGAGATGAATAAATGCTGAAATTTGCTTAAAAAGAAGAATTTGGGTTGCTAAAATTAAAACAAATAAAACAGAGGTTGTAAAGCAAAACAAGCATAACACATAATAGTAGGTAAAAGCAAAACAATAACTAAAAACAGCAAAACAACTTAAAATAAAAGGCTTGCTAATTGATAGTGTAATCTAAAAGCTAACAAAATGCTTGTACAGAGTATCAAAAGGCTGGCCAAAGGTAGTACAAGTATAGTTAAAAAAAGCAACATGCAAAATTAAGGTAGTCAAATTCTTGTTAAAACTAGCATACGACTAAATAAAAGTTAAAAGTAGCAAACAGTTAGCTTAAAGTAGCATAGGCAAATTGTAGCTAAAAGTACCAAAGCTTTATTTTAAATAAACATTTTGAACAGTACAAAATCAAAAGTCAAAGCACATCTCCTGAATGATCTGTGTTTTAATTTATAAATGGTTAAAATAGCACAAATAAGAAACAACAAAAATCTTACAAAAGAATCTACATATCAACAAAAAACATGGATGCTGAGTCAACATTCACACAGTTAGTGTTGAACCAGTTTGTTGTTTTGACTAATTGCTCATAATGAGCTGACTGATAATGTATGTAGTAGAGGTGCACCAAAAAAATCGATTCACATCAGAATCGTGATTCTCATTTACAAAGATTCAGAATCAATTTAAAATGTCCTAAAATCAATTTTTAAAAAAATAAAGCAAATCCAATGGCTGTCAGCCTCCATTTTATAACTATGTGGGTTGTCCTGACGTCACCTCACAGCTGGTTCTGGAACGTATGCATGCGCAGAAAGTGCCAAAACAAAAGGAAACTACAAAATTGGAGGAAAGAGAGATTCAACTGACCCCATCTTCATTGAATGCAAAGATTTGGGCTCATTTTGGTTTTTACTGAATGAGTCCGTTTGGCATGAGCCTCATTGTGTGCGAGGTTTGCAAAATGAAGATGAAGCACTTTGAGAACACGGCAAATGAGCTCACATTATCAGTTTTTAATAAAATTCGATTTTGAAATGAATCATGGCCCCAAAATTCAGAATCGAATGGAATTGTGAAATAATAAAAGGTTCCCAGTCC